ACAGTTCCAATCGATTATTGCCTCAACGAGGCTTGCGTGTCCGTTAGACACTGCGTTGAATCGAAATGACTTCCGTGCTCAATGAGCCCTGAGTCCACAACGCTGAAGTCACCAAGTCTCGCTGGTTCTGACAGCGAGCATGTGTAGAGCCCATCTTTGTCTCCCGCACGCGGTGCAATGTCAGACAGTGCGTCCGCGGCACCGAGGGATGTATACCATAGGTTCGATGAGCACGAGTGTCGCGCTTTGCGCACGCTATTAATGACGAGCGACCTTGATGAAGATGTGGAGGTGGTCGACTACGAGTCTGACACTCCTTTTCCCGCATGGGATGACGAGTATGGCGAGCTGCACCAGCGGCATGATACGAGCCCTGCTCGTGCCTTACGGACCCCAAGTCCGTTCCCTGAATTCTCGTCAGCCGAGGAGCGTGGTGTATTCACCAATGACCTCGACGGGGCTCAGAGGCGGCAGCTCAAAGCTGCCCATAAGACGGCTCTGAAGCGCGCCCATTCACGGCCGGTCATTGACCCTCGTGTGGAATATGGCTTCCACCCAACGGATCCCGCTGTGGAAGCGAAGGAGGCAGTAAATCGATCGTTACGCGTCCACATCATCGGGCCCCCGGCCAGAATGGAAGATGAACTTGCCACACGGAAAGCTATTCGAGGTCGTTTCTTGGTCCCACAAGAAATTCCGCTGGACGTTTATCGCACTCATCTACGTGCTCAACGAGGTGGCTCTCGTGTACCTGCAATGCGGACGATACCTGTAGTGCTTGCCTCTGGCGAAAGCGCTACAAATGACAAAGCGCCCTTTGAAGCGATGGGTGCAACGGCACCGGAAGCTTTCCTCACTGTATACCCTATCGTTAAGCATCAAGGAAGTGGACGTGCGTGAGGAGCGAAACCTCCGATTTGAGTTTGCCAAACTCAAGCCACGCCGTCGACTTTCTTCGAATTGTCGCCCTGCGACGTATGGGTTAAACCCTGATGTTCCCGCGAGCTCTGGGTCTTCAACCGCAATAGTTTGGGGCCACTACTTGAGCTCAGCTCATGGCCCTTCTATCTCTATGGCTATTGCCGGGAAGCGCGGGACGTCCTGATCGCTCCGATCAAAAGCGTGCACGGCAACTGGTCAATCTTGCCGAAGTGACACCTCAAACTCCCACGAGGTTTCGGAGTCGGGGTATCTTCA